CTCGAGTCTTTACAAATGCCTTTGAAGGCACAGCTAAGGTTACCACAGCATTTGTGCTATTCTCTGCACAAAGTTTACTAGGGTGAGTATCACCTGGGGAACACAGTAAGCATCTATGCCAACTACTGTACCTGCAAAAAGACTGACAAAGGTTTCAGAGGCTACAGCATTCCTCCCTTCTTTACAACAGTTAGGTATGAGCTTACATAAACACATGCCACAGTTAGGCAGCTCAAAGTCACAGATTTATCTTGCTCAAGGTCTTTCAAAAGCCATTGAGAACTCTTGCATTAAAAAAATCTAAAAGCAATGTTAAGAATGGGAAGGATAAACAAGTACAGCACATGAAATTTTACCTTAGGGTTTTTTGTTGGGTTTTTTTTAACACATTATAATATTAAAATACCTATTTTTGGTTAGTCACGTTTAAAATAAGTAATTTACATCGTTTCTGTAGCTTTGAAACAAATATATAAACACAAACAATGGTAGAAAGGCATGCAGTTGCATGTGTTATGCCACAGAACAGTTTCAGAACACTAGAAGGCATTTCTGAAAACAAAGGTCATAACAGTTACTGGACTACAAATGTTAGCACGTGGCTGTATTCTCAACAGCTGGGTAAATTCCACCACGTTCCTCCATGAGTGCAGGGGAACAGCTGCCATCTCGCCACGGGTTGCAGGGAAACTTCTGCTTTGGCACCTTCTTCCCCTTCTTCCTCACCAACCACCAGCACCGCCCCCCTCCACCAGCACCACTCTCCTCCTCCCGCACAACTCTTCTCTCTCAAGTGATTCTCTGCTCAGGTGTTAAAGTCGTTCTTTCGTATGTTAATCGCTGAGGCGCATCTATTGTCCCTCTAATGGATCCTTGGCTGGGCTTTGGAAACGAGGAGCCTCTCAGCTTCTTACCGGAGCCACTCCTGGGGCCCTTCCCCCGCTACCAAAAAACCCACCAAACCAAACCAGAGCATTTAAAAACTAATGGGATATCACCCACCTTTCCCCCAGTTATTATTATTTTTTACTGTTGCCACTTTGTTGTGGTACTCCTTGGACAATGAGGTAGGCAAGGTGAGAACAGTGCCTCATGCAGACATTCCCAGATTCAAAAGGGTGTTTAAATTAAAAAAGGATAACATTTCATGGTAAATTAAATGTGATCAGCTTTGCCAATGTTTATTCAAACACTTAACTTTATATAAAACAGACCAGTTGTTTCAATTCTTTTTTACTAGACATTTGAGTATTATAGTTCATTATCAGTATATTAAAATAACACATTTATAATAAAAAAACAATTATAAAGTACAGATATTACCAAAACGAATCTATTATAATTTCTCATGTCATTATAAATGCCTAGCAGATCCTGAAATACTCTTTAGTAATTTGACTACTTAATCATTCTGGCATAAAATCAAAACAAAGCAACCTTTGTAACTCATGTGTGAAACGAGAAACTCCAGACCTCAAAATAAACATGTCTTTTACCCGTTATGTAACACTTTGGTCACCCATCCATATTTCAGGTTTCCATTCAGTTAGCAAATTAACTTATAGTGCCTACTAGTGCAGCTGTGACTAAGGTTCTTTTATCCCAGGCTTGCAACACAGGCATAGATTCTAGTATTAAAGGCTTCCTAATTTAAGAATACCATGACCCCACATCATTATGGGTTCTTTACATTTTATTTCACCCACTGACTCAGAATAGGTACAGTATCAATGGAATAATAGCAAAAATACTATATTGCAATCAAACAGAATTTCACTAACCTAAGTCTCAACAAAGTCTCAAACTCCCTTGGTGTTTCAAGGGTGCATGAAAGAAAGCTGAGCTCTAATTCACTCTAAAACTCCATGTGTTTCAATGGAATATACAATGGCATAGAAATTAATATTTTACTTTCTATTCTCCCTCCAAAATTAAAGCTACTCAGAAGAATGCCAGTCAGTCTTTTTTTCTGGAGAAAGAAGGAGAAATGAAACCAGAAAGGCTATAGTTGATTGTACCTCAATGCAAATTGTCTTCTGGACTTCTGGGAAATTACTGATGAGGTATAGTACTTAATGTAAAGCTACAGAAGTAGACATGCTGTAATGAGTTACACATCAGTTTCACATCTTTCAGAACATAAAACCAAGGCAAAGAATGTTGTCTAGGCCATGATACTCCAAGACAGCCACATCATCATATTCCCTTTCCTATACTAACATAAAAATTGAATTACACTGCCTACTTGGCCATGGATGCTTTTTCACTGAACAGGCCCTATCCTCTACTTTTCTGGTTTATTATAAAGCTTTTTTAGAGGACCTGTAATCTCATGTTTTTTTATTAATATTACTAAGGCCCCTTTCTTCAGAACAACAAACTCCCAATTCTCTTAAACTTGCTGTTTTCCAGCTGAATGGTCTCCTTTCCATTAGCCCACTCCACTTTCGTCTACCACCACATTCACTGGCTTTACTGAAGACAGAGACAAAATATTATTTTATTTGAGGACCCACACCTGGATTACTTTTTACCTTAATCGATACCTCATCACACAGTTTCCACAACTTCTTTCTTCTACTTGTACAGTCAAGAATCTTTTTGTTTCTTGTTTGAATTACTATGATAGGTTTCACTTACCTTGGCAAATCTGACTTCATCTTTACATTTTCTGATCCATGAGACACAGCCCTGTTAATAAATCCTACTTCCCCACTTTCTGGGCTATCTACTTATGTAATACTTCTGGAACTAATGACTGATGTTTTTATATGGAATATGCTTTTCAACTGTCTTATCTTTCATATATCTTAATCAGTTTTTACACTTGTAATGAAAACACAGCTTCCTCTCTGTTGAAACTGGCAGCATCTTCAGTTCAGCTGACTTCATTAATTAATGCCACAGTTTCCTAAGCTCTTCCTTCTTTGAAATCAAGATCCTACTATGCTGGCCTACTTTTCAGTACAGTTAAAAAAATGTGATCTTTCAATCTAAGATACTTTCTACAACCAGGGTTTCACTGATAGCCTCACTACCTATGACATGGAGGAGTATGTTTAATTATGTTTGTGAATTTTGGTTTTTTTTTAATTTACATACTCTTCTTTAGTATATAAACACTATTGCTAATAATTATTTAGTTAATCAATATTGTTTGTGATCTTAAGAATACTTGTACCTCATTATACAACAGTTGGAAAAATTGTCCAAGTACCTGTTCTCTGCATCTACTGATCCTCTCAGACAACAAATCTGAATTAGTCTTCTCTTCATCAAGCTCAAGTTCCAGGTGAGATAACTTGTCCTAAGTGAAAGAAAGAAAAGTAATTTCAACATACTTTATAAACAACCGTACTTTTGGGCAACCTGATCTAGTGAGAGGTGTCCCTGCCCATGCAGGAGGGTCAGAACTGGATGATCTTTTAGATTCCTTTCAACCCAAACAAGACTGTGATTTTATGATACTACTTTTGCATCCTCTTCAGATTGCTACCAGGGCATACTTCCTCAAACTTCAATGACTCAAGCTGTTTGAAAGACCAGGCTTGAAAAGTTAAATGCCTTTGGAAACACATACAGTCTAGAAAAAGCCTTTAAAGTTAGTATTTGTCTGAAAGAAATAAAATAGAAGCTTCATTTCCTGCATCACTCCCATCAATTTCAAGAAAAAAAGAGAAATTCTGTAATGTTTTTAGAGACTGTTATTAGAATGTCCAACTTATACATTTGGAAGACAAGTTTCTTTTCATATGAGAAGTTTTTGCTTATGAAAGTCAAATGACAGTTTAGTTGAACTGAACGGTTATGAAGCTAACGCTATAACAAAATAGTCAGAATAACAAAGTTACTTAGACTCCTGATATTAATTTATATTAGACACTAAATAGAACTGACATATTTTTGAAGTTCTGAGTGATAGGCCTATGAACAAAAGTAATACAATTTTCTCTGATAAACTCCAGAGAAAATTAATTTAAAACACATCATGATCCAATAGATATGCTAACAGATCACGTTTTGAATAGAATAATTCCTTCAGTAGTACTACATGAATTTTCAACACCACCAAGTTATTTTGTTTCTTCTCAGGCAGAATCCATATGAAATACCAAAAATATTTTAAACAAATCTAGTAAGATGCCAACACCCAAAAATATCTTTTACCTCCATTAGTTTGATTTGTCTTGCCCGATCATCTTTTAAGTGGTTTTTGGCTTCCAATTCATACTCCAAGCCTTTCACAGTCTGTTCTAGCAGCTGAGTTTTTGTTATTGCTTCATCCTGAGCTCTCTGATGGTCCCTCAGGTTTTCTTCCATAAGACGCATCTGAAATAATATTATGGAAATACACTATATAACATACGTTCTATAAGTGATGTCAGTATAAGGAACTGACTACAAACATGACAGTTACAAAAGCATGACAGGAATGGCATCAAGTGATATGCTTTTCACAGTAATTTTTGTTTTATCCACAAGATGGCACCAAGAAAATAAACTTGGATTAAATGTCAGATTTGAAAAGATGACTCACACTACAGATTTTATGGTGACAATTATACATAGTAGGATTTAAAACAACTATTTCTCTTTACCCAGCTCCAGCAAGTCAAAATGTGTACAATGTTCTAAATGGTTATATCTTTGGAAATTTTGCAATATTATTCCTTTCCTTTTCAGACTACCAATACTTTAGCTTTTAAATAATATGTAGTTTACATGTCTGAGGCACTTCAATGACAGCATTTTACCAATGACATAACTGCTAACATATATATATACACACATAATTTTAGATATGGTAGGACTATCTGTGATCAGTCCTTGTACTTGTAACTTATAAAATTAATATATGATTTTTTTTCTTCAGCATTAAGTCTTCCACCGTCTTCCTCTGCTTAGTCAAGTGCTTATTTTAGTGATGAAGCTAAAATAATGTATTAGTGACCCTTTCTAGAGTTTGCTACCTATTGCAAAGTCCCTACAGAAAAACACTGGACATTAGCATGACTCAGTGGACAGCTAGTTAAGCACAGAGATATTCATAGCATTACATACCTCAGAATGACATTGGATCGACAACTTTAACATTCTTTTATGTATCCACAGAGAACATACAAGAGACACACAGTCATGAAGAACTCCCCTATTGCCTTGCAAGACTGTTTTCTAACTTTTCTGCTAGAACAAGATTATGATACTCATGTTGCCGTGATTATTGCAATCTTGGCTTTTAATGAGCCTCTTAGAAAGAACCTTTTGTGCAGTATGACACCTACCCAAGAGGATTTTGACAGACAATAGACTCTTTCATGTTGAATGGAAGAACTATCTATTTGTACTTCTTGTTAAACACAAAGGAGGAAGAGATAATAAAGACTTTCAATTGTCCTGAATATTTAGTCTCTTTAGAAAGTCTGCTGTTCAACCTGCCTATCCTCTATTTTCAGATTTTGTTTCCTCTTTTGCAGCTAGTTGCCATACTGCATTTCTAAAGCCCTAGGACTTTAAATATTGCTTCATGGGGATATAGAATTCTACAACCAGTAATATTTTATCCCTTTATATAGGGTTTGGATTATCTTTTTGTCAAATAATGAAGGTGTATTTTGTTCTGAAATTTTTTCTTTATTTTATAGTTGTAATAGATAACACTAGAAGAATTTTTCATAATTACTGTAAAGACAGTGTATATAGATATTTACATACACACATTTTATTTTAAGCTGTATATTCTCATTTTTTCAACTCAAAAGCCATATTCTCAATACCCCAACACCTCAATATTTTTCACATTTTATTATGAGTCTTGATCCCTTTGCAAAAGCTCTCCAACCCTGAATGGAATGTAGAAGGAAGACAGAATAAAATACAGGAATTCTACTTTCTTGGATTAGTTTTTTTTTAATTGAACTTAAAACCAGTTTGTTAAGGGGAGAAGGCAAAGCAAGAGAAGTTCTGAACTGGAAAAATCAAATTATTAAAATATTCTACATACAGAAAACATCTGTGACCAGTGTATTCTCACAGCTTTTCCAATTGTAGAACAAGTATATATGCAGATCTTTAAGACTGGATTGTCTTTATGACAAAATTTGCATGCTAAGAGGCAGACACATCAAGGCTGGGGCTGATTCTTGGTTGGAGAGACACCTTTGTCATTTAAATCTGCAACTTGATTCATACAAAGGAAGAGTGTATGCCAGCTCCTTTAGAGCCAAAATTTGGGGTTTTTTTTATGGTTGGGTTTTTTTTCTAAATTAACAGCTATGTGTTTTTCACCTAATTCAACAGTACTTCCATGTTCTTAATTCCCTCAGAAGGAGGCGTTAAAAGAGCAGCAGATCATCGTATCACTTAAGGTACATTCATTTGTCAAACACTACATTTATCCTTATAAACAGGAAACCCCCATTTCCCTGGCAGAAGTAACACCCTGGTCATTATCATGAAGAATGGAATTCAAAAGCATGTTGATTGAGATCGGTCTCTCATGATGAAGTACACAAACATGTGACAGCAAACACTCATTGTCTTGAAAACTATCTGAGCTGAATTCTAGGTCAAAGGTCAGAATTTGTCACTAAGTTTATGAGTCTTTACCTCATCTTGCATTCTCATGGTTGTCAGGCGTGATTTTTCTACCTCAAGGTTTTTCTCTTTTAATTGCCTCTGCACATCTGCAAGTTCCCTGCGATTTTTCTCCTTGTATTCATCAAGCTGGTTCTGAAGCTCCAGAGTTGATGTTCTTGAGACCTCTACCATTTCAGACATCTGGGAAAAAAATACATATAATTTTTCTCTTAAAACAGTGCTACAAAAGTTTCTATCATGCTTAATAGACCAAAAGACTTTTTTATCCAGGTTCAATATTCAGCTCAGTATTTTCATATGAAAAATTTACCAAACGTATTCCCAAACAAAGTAATTTCTATGCAGAAGTGTGAAAACATTTGCTAATAGCATGCTGGCAAGACTATTCTCTTTTTTGTCTGTCAGCAGTTCTTCCAGCTGACTGACATAACAAACTGTACAGTGATAATTCAGTATATCAAGTTGTATGATTTACACACAGATAGTAAAACAAGTCTAATGCAATAGCATTTTAAGAATGAGCTGTAAACCACTGAAATATTGCTGCTGCATACAGTAGAAATCAACTCAAATCTGGCATCTTGTTTAAACAAAACAGAACTGCTTTACAACAATATTTTGAGATAGCAGCATTCCAACAACTGTTTGAGCCCTGAAAGCTTTTACTGATAATATCTAGGTTAAAGAGACTAACAGTAAAGTTGGGTTTCACTTTTTTACACATTTTTAAAAAAATATATATATTCTTTACAATTTGGCAGCTCCTTTGCTTCTGTCTGTTAGATATTTAGATTCCTGCAGTTCGAAGTGAACTCATACCTCCTCCTGTAACTTTTCAACAGTCTTGTTCAGTTGCAGCCGTTCGTTCTCCATTTCCTTCTTTATCTGCTTTAAATGTTCCTTCTGGTGAGTTTCATCTTGTAACTGCTGAGTTAATTGTTGCTGTTCCTGTGAAATACAACGGATGTTCTCCTACAGCAGATTTAAAAAATATATACAATGAAATGTAGACCATTTTTTCTAATGCCTTAAAGGAATGTTATTTATACACATTGTGCAGCAGTAACACCACTAGCTGATGCAACAGTATAATAGATTTAAATATTTTTTTAAAAAAAAAGTTTATGGAGTTACAGTTTTCTGTAACATTTCTGTAGCTTTATCCTTCCTATGAATTCCTAAAACAATGTTGGAACATTCATAGGACCAATGTAGACCCTTTTCATGGTTCTGTTACATGCAAAGTATACAATCCTCTGCAGTTGCACACACGTCAGCAAATCCAACCTCTTGCACAAGGTTCACTATTTATTTCAGGTTTCACATTTTTCCACATGCTCCCTTAAAAGTTTTTTCAACAACCTTTTTCCCTGGGTAAAAAAAATCAAATCAAATACAAATCTGTTCTTACAAGGAGTGAGAAATAACTAGTAGGGATTTTTTTTTTCCTATTACTGTGCTTCTATAGCACTCAGTAGCTTTTAAGCAAGACAACGTCTCATTGTGACAGATGCTGTGCAAACCAGACCTTAAGTATCTGGGTTAATTTTGGAAGGGATTGCAGAGCTCTGCAGTATGCTCATCTATCAGGAGCTCCAAATATTTCTGCTATTGCATTTAGGATGTTTAAGAACTTACCACCCTCCAACTTTTAAATGCTGTCCATCAGCAGAATAACTGAGTGCCACTAGTACATTCCAGTAGAAGAAAAGCAGGTTATCTTCCTGCATGTTGGGACTCTCACTTCTTCCTCTCTCTCCATAATAAAATATCTTAATGGTCCTACTCTAAATAGACACAAGACTAGAAAAAGGGGTTGTTTTTATGAAGTCTGAGAGGCACTGTTAACTTGATTAAAACCAGATTATGGACAGTTTACATGGTTCTAACAGAAAAATGTAAATAATTAAAGTACCCATAAATTGTACAAAAAAAATTCCAAAACATTATTTTACATTTTAATATTGGAAAGTTAAAGTTTTGATGAGTATCTGATACTCACAATGCTTACTTTATTACACTTCAAAAAACTTTAATGTCAAAGCAATGGAGTATTTCTGCAGACAATACAATTCAGAATCTCACAAGATAATTGCTCTGTTATAAAAGAAAGAATTATCACCAAACATGAGAAGTTAGATATTTATTTAGATTTGTTGTCTCTCTTATGTTCCTGCATAACCTGTCAACAAAAGACATCTCTGATACAAACAGGAGTTATGATGGATGCCTAAGAAGTATATACATACCCCTAAAACATGCTGGGGGCTAATAGATGCTGTTTTGCAAAGTGTAATCCTACATTAGAATTTGTTTAGCTGACACCAAAAGATTTTAAGAACCTTGAAAAGGTTCAACTTCAGCACCTCTGTTCTAAAAGCTGCTGAAGACTTGGGACCCTGATAATGTGCCATATTTGAAGAGGTTACTTTCCATCAGCCTTTCACGGATCATTCAACTTTACTGTCTGTTTACATATCCTTGAGAAACAAACTGTGCAGACACAGGTCAGTGAAATACATTGTGGCAGAATACTGGTGCCAGCAGGATGCTGTTCTGCATTCCAGTGTGCTGAAAAGGAAAGTAAGCACCAGAGCAAATCTGGTCACTCTCTTTACTTCTCTTTACTGGTTTATAATCCATTTATAGATAAACTTCCTTTTCAGATTTTCAGAACAGTAATGTAAAATTTGCATTGAAGACAACAAGGGAAAACAGTTGTTAAGTTATAAATGGGTCGCTACCAATGTACATTTACCTCACTTTCAAGTCTGACTTCATAGACCAAATAACTTAAAAACTTTGCTTCTAGCAGCAAAGCTAAGAGAATTCTAAACTATCTGATACTGTAGAAACAGATGTTTCTTCAGGACAAGTAAAAGGTGAATTACAAAGAGGAAAGATTAGGTTTGCAGCTGTTTCAGATACAGAATATGACGTCAATAGGAAAAGTTTTAAGATTCATACACACTCATCTCCTTACTAAACAGACCTGAATTTTCATTCCAACCAAATCATTCCATCTTTACTCATATGCAATATTGCCAACATCACTCTGCATTGCTCTGAATCTCTACATGATTAATTTTTGGGCTAATCTGGGAGAAAGCATATCCCTTTCCAGGATCCTGAGTAGACTGAGGAGCAAGGTGGAAAGACTTCATACAGAGCTTAAGAGGCTGCAAGTCTAGTGATATGTGTTAAATTTATCTGGTTTTGTGATGAAATATACCAGGTCCATGCAACATTTGCAATTAACACAGGTTCATAAAAAGATAAGCCAATTTCTTGATGTTTGTCTACTACCAATATTTTTATGTATATTCAAGTACAGCTTTTTATTATTTTACATGTAAATACCTACAGACAACCAGAGCTGAATGTATAAAACCTTAGGCAATTTATTTTGCGATTCATCATTCTGAAATTTTCCTGGATCCATAGGAAAAAAAAAGTGTTCTGCAAGAAAACTACTTTAATTAGATGATGCTATGTTTGCAGGAAACATTTGAACATTGCAGTCAGGTCTGGACTGTAAAAAAAGTGTACTTCAAAAAGAATGAGATGCAACACTGTGGAAAGCAGTAGTGACTCAGGTAAACAAACAGGAAAATTAAAAATTAAATATTCCAAATTGCTTGTTCTTACTTGCATATCTTCTAGTTGGCTTTCCAAAGACCTTTTTAGCACCACCATTTCTTTTGCTTCCTTTTCAGCATTTTTCAAAGCTTCTTCTAATTGTTGCTTCTCTTCCTGCAATGATAAAATTTGATACACTTAGAAATAGTGGTGAGGCCTTTAATTTAACAAGCAAATTGAGCTATGAAGTATGTTCACTTGGGCCTACAACTGATCTCCCCAGTTCCAAGCTGTGACTTGCTTTTACACTGGTTTTCACTGGGGAAATCTTTCTTATACTTGTCAACAACCTGCACTGTACTCCTTGACAACCTGCTGGTTTTGCTTAGCATTCCCAGTGGCATTGCACAACCTCCTCTTTGTCAGGTTTTGTTCTACAATGTAACCTTTGCAAACAGGAAGGAGACCACATAAGAAGCTTGTTTCTTAACTTACCTCATATCTTTTTATTTTTTCCTTCGCTGAATTTTCTTCTCCTTTCATGTTATCAATTTCCTTGTGCAACTCTTCAATTTTACTCTCTAGCTCATCAACTGTTCTCTTCAACTGTTCATTTTCCTCAGTCAGCTCTTTGACTTGATTTTCTATACTACTTCGCACCTCTTGTGCAGCGTTTCTTTCACTGGCAAGGACAGCAGCACTCTAGTGAAAACAAATCATGCCATATTTAAAAAAAACAACAAACAACTGATGCTGTTTCCTAATGAAAGTTTCCTATAGCACCACAGGAAAAATAGCTAGAATTTAACATTAAAATGTCAACAAAGAATTTCACTTGCACTCTGTATGCATTACAAATGTATTTTTATTATTCACATTACTGTGGGAAAGCACACAAGAAGCGTTCTTCTTTCTCAGGCATGTCTCCCTGCTAGCTGAAATAACATATACCACTTCAGCAGTCTCATGCCTGCCATCATATATTTTCAGTGTAGCATCTTCCTTTTTATTGCCCTAAAATATTTCCCATTACCAAATCCCATTGTTAAGTAACTCCAATTCATCTAAAAAACTTAGACATCAAAAGCCATATGGACCTTTAAGGAAGAACAGACCAACAAAGAGTGTCTTCCACAGCAACACAAAACTTAGGCAGACTCATCCCACTGCTTGTTATAAGCAGTAACAACATGCACTAACTGCATCTGTGCAACTATTTGTGGGGCTGCAGAGTGAATCAGCTTAGCAAACAGGATCAACTCTAATATATACAGACAAAAACAGATACAAAGACATCTTTGACACTAAAAAGAGGTGGATGATGATGACACATGGGGGAAAGGTGTTCCTGTAAAAAAGCCCCAATCCATTTCAAAACATGGTTGAAATGCTGTGCCAGCACAGAAGAGCAGATGGTGAGCAGGCATGGACAAGCAATAGAGACTGTAAGACCCTTACAGTGAGCTACCTGCATAAGTTACAGCCCACATTTGGGGCTGTAATTATTCAGTAGAAATTCTGCTTCATTTTCAGATACTTCCTGAGGATAGAAGTAGTAGCTAATGAGTTCCAACTTATATTCAGAAAGATACACGTCGTATTTTTTCAGGAACTCAAACCAGTGTAGAGCACAAAGATAAATGTTAATAAAGCTACCCATCACAATTAATCACATGATGATTTTCGGGGGTTTTTTGGCGGGGCAATTCGCGGCAGCACTTAACTTTTCAGATCTAATTATCACCTCTGTCTCCCCATTACCCTCTTGAAAACACTATCATTTATTATGGAAACCCTGAGTGGAAGTATGTGTGTGTATTTTATTATATTATAACTTTGTAACTTTGTTATTCTGTTATACTGTAACACAAACAAGGTATATACTGGTAAACATTTAGTTCTGTGGAGTCAAAACTTGGAAGCTCTTCCGTTGACTTTTCAGTCAGAATCCCCTCCAAAGAAGATAAAAGAATCTGAGATAGTTTGTGATTATTGCTCTTGTGCATTCAAGGTCTGATACAAAGCAATACTCTGCACAACGATCTGATTCTCATGTACAGGCCTTCTACACTAAGACCTTAAATAATAGTAAGAACAAGAGAGCAGACATTAGAGTCAAAGAATCACAGAATTGTCATGGTTGGAAAAGACCTTTAAGACCATTGCATCCAACCATCAGCCTGTCTCTGACCCCAGTATAAAAATAAACAGACAAATAAAAGCCCACGAGTCAATCTAGTCCAGTATTCTCTCTAGTAGCCATAGCATTTATGGACAAAAAGAGGAAGAACAACTACAGGGCAAGCCTTTCCCCTTTACACACTTCCAGCTCTCACTGTTCTTCCTCCATGAATGTATCATCCCTTAATTTCTCTAACCCTTTCTGAATCCATTTATACCTTTGACCTCTACATTATCTGGTGACAATAGGTAATTTACACATTAATTACTGAGGCATAACACTTTTGCATGTGAAATTGTATTTAACTGGGTGAAAACAAAAGAAATCCTACAGAATAGTTTGGTAAGACACTATTTTGTAAAATATTTTATGAAAGCATTAAAATCACTTTTCAGTTATACTACTTTTGATTGTAGCTCCCAGTTTCCCCCTCCTCATTTCCAAAAGGAACAAGCAAAGTTATGTAAAGGGTGTTTACAAAGTGCACCCTCACTAGATTGTTTTCTAGCAAGTAACAGCTTTCAAATCATGCAAATTCATTTGATAAAGCAGTAACTCAGAAAACACTCAGACTGTCTACAGGGTCAATGAACTTATTATACAAAAACTGGCAGCATAAGCAGGCAGACAAGTTCTGGTCTTTTGAAAATACTGAAAAAACTCGTTCTTCTAAATACACGACTACTTAAAACCTCTGAAATAAACCTCTGCTGATGCTTTAAATTCTCATACACAGACATTTCAATAGCATTTATATATTCCTTTAATTTTTGCTTTTTGCATAAAGCCAAGTTTTACTAATTAGCAATCGCTCCACCAGCAGCTCCTTTTTGTCTCATTTCCCCTTTCTGGAGCAGAGTGAAAGCAGCTGATGCATGCTGGGGAGTTCAGGGAAAGGAATGTTGATTTGTCTGTTCTTTTTCATCCAACCGCCTACCCAGGGCTGCACAGTAAGAGGGCTGCAGCAGACCCACACTGTACCTGAAGATTCCACCACCTCATCTACCATGGTTTGCTCTACTTTCCCAACACAGGAAGAAAGCATAATTTAATTATGAGTACATGCACAGACACACACAGAAGCAAAAAACCCAAAACCAAACAAAACACCTAGATCCGTATACATAAATATATACATAAAAACATATATAAATTTTTATTCAACTAAGCAGGTTCAAAATTAAGTTCAACATACACTGATGCTGTCATATCTAGAGATCTGTTCCAGACTGCCTTTTGCTGTATGTATCTTAGGATCCTCTTCCAGCCACTAAAATTGAAATAAACTGGTATTCTCTCTCCTTTTTCACTATGTACTTCAGTAAGTTAGCAAGATCCTAGGCTAATATATATATAAAAGGTAAGGAAGTATAAAATGCAAGTTGCAAGTATTATCTTTATTAATCTAATCTAAAATCTTGGAAATAAATTCAGTATGTAAGTAGAACCTGCCTAAAGTTCCAGCTGCCTGAGTGAGCAACATTTAACCAGCACATGTCCATGAGTCTTGACATCATTACACCTTCATATGAATTAACTGTTCCCAAACAAATTATCTAACCTGCTAAGTATAAAATTGCCTTCTTTCACCTGGAAGGGGTACAGTTGAAAAAAATATCAACAATAAATGCATACACTCACACTTTTTCATGATGGTATGAAAACTCTCTTTATCAGGGAGCTTTATAATATATGCAGGGAGATTTACTGCAATGTAGTTGGAGAATGGGCATTTTTCCTATATATCTTCTGTGGAGAGTAGGAGAAATTTTCTTCATTTCACTGAACACTATTGTTTCAACACTTTCAACTTGCTTCAGATAAGACTGGAAAGAAACATAGAAGTATCTATCCTATCAGTTTATCTTACACAATTGTACTATGTGCATAAGGCATGAAAGATCACCTTCAAGATACCATTCAGGATGCTATTAGGAAAAAACAATATATGAGTGTCTTGAATTTTACAGTGGAATTTAAACAAAGTCCAATTTCATAAACCCTATTTAGATGTTCCTTGAGTAGAAAATGCACATATAATACCACTTCTCCAAAAGAGCCAAATTATACAGCTGGGTTTAGATAGCAAAAAAGTCTAAATTAATTTATCCCCAGTGTAATGAGAGTTGCACATAGAGCTCTTCACTGGCATAAAGGAAGCTTCCAAATTACAATAATTGCTTTTGGCACTACATGCCATATCCTGAAACATATTGCCACAGAAAGTCAGGGTATGAAAAAACCCCATGCCTCTTCCCTTCTCCACTGTTAGTCTTACACAGCACCCCATATCACCTTCAACTTCCCGTCCGGGTCTTATTTTGGGAAGACTGAACAAACATGATAGAAAAGAGCCTTGGTATCATTGGAAAGGATGTGCAAAGGAAGCAAGTACTGAAGTGTATTTCTGACAGACCTTTTAGCAGCATAATTAGGGAAGAATCTGGTGGAGAGATACTCCTATCCATATATCAAAGTTACATATCGTTCAGGCAGCTATCAAATCATGCATGGACACTGCTGAAGCAGAAACAGATTGTTGAGCTCTTTGACTATGGAACCCTACTACTGGCAGTGTACTCAACCAGCCCCAAGCAACTAGAAGACAATATTACTCATGCAGAGACCATACATTAAATTTACCACCCTGTCTAATGTCAGCGATGGCTCGCTACATTCTGCATAAATTCCCTAATAAAACATGTCAGTAGAATATGTGAAAACCACTGCACTGAAATGAGAGCAATTACTATGTATACTGGTAAATTATGAATGCAAATTATTGCACTTCACAGGCTAAAACTGAAAGTGGCAACATCCACAGTTTTAAACTGTAGAACAGATGGTATTTGCCATCAGTCAGTGGTAATCCTATTCTTTCTGGGGTTGTCTACATGAGCAAGAAGGCACAGATTTTAATTTAAAATTCCATTACTAGCTCACACATTCAAAAAGGGAGTTGAAAGTTGTTTGCAAAAGCAATGAAATAGTGGGTTAGAGTGATAAAGATGAAAGCAGAAGCATAACTGAACATTAATAGGGCTAGTAAGTACAAATGAGGAAAAAAGCCAGAGAGGGAGAACTCAAATGCAGAGATTGTGGTGTGGATCCATATCCTTTAGTCCACAGATTACTTATTTTCTAATGGTGCTTTTCATAAAAAAGTGTGAGTTGACAAAAGGTTCTTCAGTTTTAATGACACTACATGAACTAATGACTCCTGTTGGTACCCATTCATGAATCCTTTACGTTGCTACACTGAATATTTGGGAATGTTGGTAAAGTTCTGGCAATCATTTTAAGTAAGTTTATATAAATCTAACCCATGGTGACAGAACTGCATAAAGTTCACAAAGTAATTACTTAAGTTGAATATGAAACATTAACAAACATGTTTTAATATTACATGATCTTTAGTTCACAGAATTGTGGACCAGCTTCTTCATAGAGTTGAAATGAGATTATGTACATAAACACATATAGAGCCCATAACAGACAAAACTGGTTAAACAAGATACTT